GCTTTCAAGAGCTGAGGATGAAAGTAATGGCTCCTGAAATCACTATAGCAGAAAGGAGACTTCTTTTTCATTCTTGTTTAAGGTCTGGGCCTGGGGGGGTGGGAAGAGGGGAACACAATGCAGCTAGAAGGCATGAGAAGGATGAGGCAAAGTCAAGAGAACACCTGGGACAGACAGTGGGGAGGCCCAGCCGCACCCGGCAGAGTCAGGAATGGTCTTGCCTTGTGCCTCTGGAAATGGGGTGACAAGTCGACCGAGACAGGGGTTCTGGCTTTCAAATGTGTGCAAACAGCAGCATGACTGGCAGCTGTACTCCCCGCCCGGCAGCAGATGGGCAGTCCATTCTCTGGAAGGGGGTCTCAGACTGGGGAGCCCCAGGTCCACCTGGGACAATGATCACGGTACCGTTCAGACCTGAAGTCCTGTCCCCATGGGGGCTCCAGGATGCGGGCAGCCAGGCCTCCTCTTCCAGCAGACAGCTGGCAGAGCCTGGGCACCAGGGCTCAGAGGACAGACCTACAGCACTCTCTCAAATAGGAGTGGACAACCTAGGGCCACCAGAAGGCCAACGAAAGCCTCCAAGAAGAAAAGTGGGAAGGGACCAGGAGGGAAGAGATTCTTTAGTGAGAATGAAAAATAAACAAAACTACCATGAAAAGAATACAGCCATGAAATAAAGGCCACTGCTTTTGTTTGTTTCTGGTTTTTTTTAATCCAGAGAAAAAAGAACTCATATTAATGAAAAATGATAGCAAAAATAAATTTTTTAAAAAATCATTAGAAGCTTTAAAATGTAAAGTAGGGGCACCTGGGTGGCTCAGTTGGTTAAGCAACCAACCGTGCCTCAGGTCATGATCTCAAGGTCAGTGAGTTCAAGCCCTGTGTCTGTGCTGACAGCTCGGAGCCTGGAGTCTGCTTCAGATCCTGTGTCTCCCTCTCTCTGCCCTTCCCCCACTCATGCTCGCTCTCTCAAAAATAAATATTAAAAAAAATGTTTTTTAAAATATATAAAGCAGAAGTTTCTAGAAAGTAGAGCAAAACTTTTAAAGAGTGGACAGGCCGCCTGGGTGGCTCAGTTGGTTAAGTATCCGACTCCTGGTTTCAGTCATGATCTCACAGTTCGTGAGTTGGAGCCCTGCATCAGGCTCTGCACTGTCAATGCAGAGCCTGCTTGGGATTCTCTCTCTCCCTCTCTCTCTGACCCTCCTCCACTTGTACTCTCTCTCTCTCAAAATAAGTAAACTTAAAAAAAAATTTTTTTTAAGGGGAGACAATAGGAAATAAAAGGACTAGAGCAGGTAATACTACATCAGCATAAGATTCAGAGAGAGAAAACAGAGAATGAGGAGGTGAAACAAAGAATAATTTAAGAAAATCCCAGAACTGAAAAGTAAGAGTTTCTTGGGTTGCAAGGACACAGAGGACCCAGTGCATGGGGCACAGGTGCTATGTGCACCTCCCATATCAGGGGGCAGGTGCGTCAGGGCAGGCTCTGCTGAGCTGCAGCAATGAGCGAGCCCAGACCCTATGAGGCTTAAAAACGAAGATGTATTATTCAAGTTTGTGTCACTCTAAGGAAGGGGTGGGGGGGTAGGCTCTTCACTGAGCACCATCACCTTGAATGATGTCAGTTATCAACCCAGAGGGGAGGAAACATGTTTATAACTAATCGCTGGGCCCAGAACTGAAGCAGGGCACCCCCCTCGGCTCCTGGGCGTGCTGACTGCATGAGGCCACCAAGCTCTGGGAGAGAGGAAAGGCCAGGCAGCAGAGAGCTGGAAACGTGTGGTCTACAATGACCCTTGTGAGCAAAAAGACGATCCTGACACCTTCCAGAAAGAAAACACAAGCCCCACAAAAGGCACTGACCTGACACAACTGGTCTACGGTAGAAGCCAGAAAGTAATGCAATAATCCCTGAAGAGTTCTGAAGGAATCTTCGTCTAGAATTCTACATCATCAATCTACCAATTAAACGTGAAGACAAGACATTTACCACATGTCTCAAAATTCTCCTCCAATGCACATTCAAGTGAAATAAGTGCGAAATAAGCAAGAAGAAGTCAGGGAATAAGACATCTGTAATGGGCAGAGCAGGTCTGAAGGCTGTGGGGGCCATTCTTCAGGAAGGTGCCCCATCAAGAGGTCCTGATGCTTCTGAACATCTTAGGGCAACTGACAAAACATGTGGAATTGAATCAGAAATAGTAGACAGAGAGGGGAAAAAAAAAAGAAAGAAAAAGAAAAAGCCATTTATTAGCTTCAGCGAAAACAAAAGTCATGCACAACACCGCTCACTAACAAGAAGAACAGCATTTAGTCATACACATATACACTAAATGCTGATCTCAAAATTACACCACATCTACATGGGGGATGGTGAACACAGGGGAAGCAGGGAGGTAAGAAAATAATCATCTTGCAAAGGATAAAGTCACTAGGTAATACCTACAAATGAAAAATCAACAAGCATATGATTCTATGGCACAAAGATAAACACCAAAAACAATCAGCTAAGGGAAGTGCTTGCCTCCCGGCAGGGGAAAATAGTGGCAGGGACTCTGTTTTGCCTAACAAACCCTGAAGACTCTATTTGACTTTTCAAACTCTGTGCATGTTAAAGAAACACTAAAGGTAATTCCAGCTGAGCCTCTACCTGGGGAGCTACCTACCTAGTAGGTTGGCAAGATTTTCAATCAGACCTCTGAGCTCTTCAGTACTCCATGGGCTGAAACACTGAAGACAGAAGCCCTGTTCTCAAGGACTGGGAATTTTACTGAGAAGAAAACACACGCATGGGAAAGACCTTTAGTGCAGTGCAAGGTGTCATGGGCTGACTCCCCTAGGCATGGTCCAGAAGAGTTCAGATGCACGAAGGGAGACTCCGGCCCAAGTAGGCAAAAAAACAGCCCTTTGAGAAAGATCCAAGTGCAATGAGAAAGACTGGCAGAACTTGAGAGAGGAGCAGACAGTGCACTTCCAGAAAGGGAACTGGCTAGCTGTGAGGCTGTGTTAAGTGGGAGTATGGACAGTTTTTTCAAAGAGATTTCACTCTTAACAGGGAGGGCAAGATTGTCGGTAAGACTCCCTGCTGACTTACGTTCTCAGTATCCTTGGACACCACCTATCAGGAGCCCCGTAACGTTTTTCCAGCAGTGTCTCAGATGTACCATCCCTGCTCATTAGTAACACTGCTCCACCCTGTTCTTGAGCCCCTCATAACTAAAATCAGATTTTATAAGCTGGCACCAGGCCTCTCCCAAGCCGGCCAGCTCTTGGCCCCTGTCTGGTCAGCCTCATCACTGTACCATTTTCATGCTCCAAAAACACTATCTTTCTTTGCATTCCTACAGCCCTTGGCTGCCACAGGACCTCTGCACATGCTGGTCCTCCTGGAACACATTCCCCCCTAAGCCTCCCTATTCTACACATCATTCAATTCTCAGCTCAAGCCTCAATTCTCACAGAAACAAATGCCCCTGATCACCCTAATTCAGGAGTCCCATGCATGATCTCTCATGCATTCCTTTCCTTTATACCAGTTTGTAATTCAGCCCTCATCGAGGTGGTTATCTCATTCTTGGCTACCTTACCTTCTAGACCAGTGGTCCCCTGACCATAGCAACAACTTCCCAGGTGATGCTATTACAAATACACAACCCAGACCTACTCAATCAAAACCGTGAGGTGGGAGGCAAAAATCTGTGTTTTGAAAACCCTCCAGGTGATTCTGATATACTCCCCAGTTTGAGAACCACTGCTCTAGGCACCAAGATGGCACTTCCTCAGTGTCCCCCAGCACCATGCACAGTAACAGACAAGGGAAAAGACTTGGCAGGATTTCCTGGTTGAATGAATGCTGAAAAACTTCCCAGGGCTCCCTAAATCTCCCTTTATTAATTCTAATCACAATGGAGCACCTGGGTGCCTCAGTTGCTTGAGCGTCTGACTTCAGCTCAGGTCATGATCTAATGGTTCATGAGGTCGAGCCCTGCATGGGGCTCTGTGCTGACAGCTCCAGCTCAGAGCCTGGAGCCTGCTTCAGATTCTGTCTCTCCTTCTCTCTCTGCCCCTCCCCCACTCACATTCTGTCTCTCTCTCTCTCAAAAATAAAACATCAAAAAAAATTTAATTCTAAACACCTCTGTCCAACCTAGATCAACACTGAACCGTCTGCAGACCTGGGTTCTACCCCCAGCTCCCTGGCCTTTCTAGGTTCAAAACTTGGCTCTCTATAGCTTGTCATCTGTATAATCATCCATAAATGTTCCTAATTCCTCTTGGTCTAAATTTTCCCACCTCTAAAATGGGAATGACCATAGTATTTCCCAAGATTGTTGAGATAATTAAATAAGCCAATGAGACTCATGCCTGCACACATATGTAAACACTCAGCAAATTTAGGTGCTATTATTATTTCATAACAATAATTATGCAATTTTAAGTGATCTTTCCCCTGGGTCTCAGCTTTCTTGCTCAAGATTGACCACATTCACTTAAGAGCTCTTTCTCCCTTTCAAACTACTCCCATCTAACACCCAACCCGGCATGAAACTCTGCCTAGGATCCAAAAGTCCTGCTTGAGGTTTCTCTGCTCCACCTCCTGGAACAGCTGGGCTATGCTGGACAATCTGGGTCTTAATAACACATGTCCTCCTAGAGCTCAACTGAAGTCACTTTCCCAAGTCCCCTCTCATCTCGGGAACCAGATCTTGGTAATTCAACCAGTTAGCAGGTTGTTTCATTTAAGAGCATGTCTGTGCGGTGACTAGGATTCAAAGGGAGCTTACACTGTAAGCTATTTCTAGTCCAACTGTGGTCTTTGGTAAAGTATTAATAGCAACAATTATAATATATGCTCATCGAAAATATCTTAACATAAAAGGGGGGGGGGGTTCTGCCTCTTAGAAAACACAGGGTCCACCACCTGCCTGCGAAGTGCCCCTCCTGCCCGGGTCTCAGGCAGAGGCCGGGAGTCAGGATAGACACGAGGACCTTACATAGCAAAGCACCGCCCCGGGTCTCCGGGAGCTGCGCCTCCCCACTGGGCCGATCCGCCGCGCCCCGGGGACCCTGCGCGCCCGGACATCTGGGCGCGGCCGAGGGCCGGCGGGGATCAGCAACACTTGGCTCCCCAATAGTTAAATGCTGAGTAATTTTCCTGCGGAGCAAACAGTCGGAGCGGGGGCTCTGCCAACGGCAACAGTATTTTTATCCTACTTAACCAACACGGCGGCGCGGCCACGACTGTCCCCAGGGTGTCCCCGCGCGGCACGCTCAGGAATCGCCTGCCGGACCCTCGCCGGCTGTCGGGACGACGTGGACGGGAGTCCCACGCGTCGGGGCGGGGGGACTGGGACACCGGGCTGGGGCCTCGGCTGGCGCCTCGGCCGTGCC